TCTTTAGCAGCCACATAGCAATTATCCCAAATAGTGGACTCCATGTTTGGCCTAGAAAATCATAGAAATGTCTCTTTTGAATTGGGACACAAGTAAAGCACCCTGAACACTTCAACAAGCTGCTAGCTACACCCTATAGCAACAGTATAGGAAATACCCCAAACACCGTAGCAACCCCCTAGCAATTACACTAAAAATCTTAGCAATGCCCTTGCAACAACAGCATTGTGTACTCCATATCTAGGGCCAAGAAAATCATTGAAAAGTCACTTTTGACTTGGGTAAGTAAACCCACACAACACACAAGCTAGCAACACCTTAGAACACCATAGCAATGCCCTAGCAACTGCGTTAAAGAGCCCCTATCATAGCATTTGAAATGTTCCTATTTTTGTTTTAGGAGTTCCCAAAAACAGTTTAACATGCATGCAAGGATAAAAAACACTTTATTTGTCTTATAATATGCATTTATTTTTAACTGATTTGCTCACCGACTCCCAAATGATTCGTACAACGACTCATTTTTCCAAACCACTCCTTTGCGTGACGCTAATCGGCAGTAATTGGTCAGATGACAGACCCAGTCAGTTATTGTTTGTTAGCATAACGCATAAACATATTAATAAAGCACTGCAGTACTACAAGACGCTCTATTCTTTATGACAACTCCAATAACAGCGGCAAACATTTCACATATTTAAAAAAAATTGACATTGGAGACCTAGAAGCTGCTCTGAGCGTAACTTACACACACACGCGCACACACATACTTATTGCGCCTTCCCTCCTCGCGCCCGACGCTACAAAACCGTTCAAAACCCATAAAAGCAACAATTATTAATAATACTCACAGGTTGTGATTCATAGGAGGAAGCTGATCCATACTGGGTAAGTAAGTTACTGAGCCCTCCTTCAGGAACAACCGCTTGCGAATCCACATTTGAATTCATTTATGTTTTTGAACGATTCGTCATTAAAATGTGAACACAATCGGGCTATACTGTTGTGGTATCGTTGCAAATATAAACTCTAACCACCGATTCTTCACATGCTCGTCCCTGATGAAAACAAAGTGGCTGAACTATCTTTGCATTGTAGAACACAGCGTCTTCTCGACATGATGCTATGATGAAGTATTTGAATGTGTAGACTTCAAGTTTACACTTCCATCTGCGCGCGCAGTAACTGGGTCTACGTCACGATGTAACAGCTAATGACTCGTTTCAAAAACAATTCATTTCATAGACTCAGAGTTGACTCTCACTTTTTAAAGACAATATCTTTATATACGGTGCACTTTCAGATATAAATCTTTGCAGGATGTTTTCATCCCCTTAGAGCTATATTCCACACCATATTAACAGTCATTTTCAAAAATCCATGATAGGAGCTCTTTAAATAAAAGCGTTTGTTTGCGTGTTACAACTTTGGGACCAATCTTTGATAGATGATCAAATAGATTACAGTTTCCCTTTCTTTTTTTGCAGCAATACTTCACACTACTGATTATTACTGATGGAGTGATCAGCGACATGGACGAAACACGTCACGCTATAGTGCAAGCCGCCAAGCTTCCCATGTCCATCATTATCATCGGGGTGGGCAATGCCGACTTCACCGCCATGGAGTTTCTGGATGGAGACAGCAGCGTGCTGCGATCCTACACAGGAGAGGAGGCGGTCCGAGACATCGTGCAGTTTGTCCCGTTCAGGGACTTTCGCAACGTGAGTTCGATTCCCTCTCTTGCTTGATCTCTTGATTGTACACTGGTTGAGTTATATAAAGGTATAGTCACTGGGTGCATGATTCAATGCTTTAAAAATGTTATGGTATCTCAATGCAGGGTCAAAAAGTCTTTATTGAGCAGCTGCATTAAGCTCTCAATATCATGCAGATGAATTGACCCAGAGGCTTTAGCTTACGCATATAATCAATATTTCTGTTGCCACAGACCTCTGGATAGTTTCTTGTTGTTCTGAAGTGAATCCAATCCTGGATCACGCATGTAAACAGAATCTTCAGTAGGAGTACGAGTAGGCGGTCTGTGGGCCATGTGATTTCCTCAACAGCAGGAGGGAACGGGCAGCACTGCCTCATTTGGGCTCCATTCAGAGGAAATTAAAATTCATTTAGCTTAGCGAGAATATGGGAGGAAACAGTGCCAACATTCACCGCCACACAACCGAACGTGTCTGCCATTTCTTCGTTTTCATTACATGGAAGTGGATTTAACAATCTAACAAGTGTCCACTGCCAGCTTGTACTTAAATATGCATCCTCAATGATGTCGTTGCGTGTGTTTGTTGTTTTTGCAGGCTCCGAAGGAAACTTTAGCCAAATCCGTATTGGCAGAGCTGCCGCAACAGGTCACACAGTATTTCAAACAGAGGAACCTGTCGCCTAGCAACACAATGCCGGAATAAGAGCCGGAAGCCTGAAGTTCACACTGCATGTTGCCAAAACCTGCTAACTGTTTACAAACCCTCCTTGACCAATTCAATGGAAAAAGTGCATGTTTTTTTCTGTACATAAGTGTTTTTAGTAAATGTTTTTATTTATTGGTTTATATATATATATATAAATATATATGTATATGATGAATTATCGATTGAAACGCAATGGCCATTTGTGTCTATCACAAAATATGTAACAGTGTTTGGCTGAATGTAACGTTATTACTACCATTTTCTGTGTTTTAAGAGAAGTGAAAGCTAAAGAGTACCTTTTTATGTAGTGATTTGTATTAAGTGATAAGCGTATGGTGCCATGGTCAAGGTGGTGTTGTTGATTTTTGTACAGTTTTATCAGTTGTTTATGTTCCACTCAGGTCAATAAATTTCATTTGAGGAAATAATGACTGGTGCACACATCACATAATGCACAAACGCATTGATTCGGGAACCGATTAGAGCTGCAGGTTGTTAGTGAGTCACAACAACACCTTCAAGTAACACTTTCTAAGTGATCAAGCACTGCTGTTCTTTTAGATTACTAAATCTAAATGGATCACATACTCCGACTTTTTGGGACTTTGGCTTATTCAGCATCCCTCAGAGTTAGATAAGTCCATACACCTTTTTCATCTCCGGGCGTGCTGTAACTCTGTCTGACGCACCCACCGCTAGCCTAGCTTAGCACAAAGACTGGATGTAAATGGTTGCAGCAGCATACTATTCCCAAATAAGTGACAAAATAACGCAAACATGTTTCTATTAACATGATGTGATTTGTATAGTCACAGAGTGTACAAAAAACAAGGTCATATGAGACAGCCATCTTTTAATTATATATATATTGGGAACTATATTCTCAGAAGGCGAAGCACTGCTACTTGGGCGGAGTGATAACTGCATCACCTGAGACGCACTGTGGTTAGGAGCAGAGAGTTTGTTCAGAGGATTACTATATTAAAAGTGTAGTTTACAATCTTGGATGTCCCTTAATTGTAGCTGCATCAATAAACAGGGGAGACCGGGTAATACCATGATGTTTCATAGAATTGGCTTTATGCACAGCTGCACTACTTACTGAACTTAAGCCAGCTCCTTGTTTCCTGTCTGCCATTATTGGTCAAATTGATTAATTCAGGTGTACCTGACCTCAGTAGTTATGGCAACAATAATCAGACACACCTGAATTAATCAATTTGGCCAATAATGGCAGACAGGAAACAAGGAGCTGGCTGAAGTTCAGGAAGTAGTGCAGCTGTGCATAAAGCCAAAGACGCTGACCTGATGAATCAATGGAGTTACTTGCTCTGGATAATATTGATCCAAACACACCTAAAGAGATCATCAAGGACGTGTTTGCTGAGTACATTTCACTGAGGACGACTATTTTGAAAAAAATGGAATTTGCCATACCCTATAGAGTCAGACCATGAAACTTGTGCTGAAGTATACGGCCATCCCATCGATAGCACTGACGGGACAAAGTGGATCACCTGTGTCTGCGGTAAGTGCTCCGTTATGTTTTTATATGACTAGCCTAACAGTGCCACGACACTATATACTGTATATGTAACGTTAGTGACACTATTATATGAATAATAGGTATATTGCAGTTGTTCCCGGTCTCCGTGTATCCCTGAAAAGTTAAGATGTTTTTATTTCGATGCAGCGCGGACGCGCTTGGAAAAAAACGAGCTTTCGTGTCGCACCTAACGTTACATTTGAAATAACCAGTAGGCGCGCAAGAGACGCGACATTAGCAGGCCCTATGATGTTATTGTTTTGTCACAAACGCGCTCTATGGCCCCAGTAACAAATGAGCGGAGCAAGAGGTAAACTCTGTAGCCTTGCTAATGAATCAGATTTTTTTTTTGACCTTGTGCTATTACTTTCACCTTATTCTAGCCTATTGTAATGCACAGCTGCACTACTTCCTGAACTTAAGCCAGTTCCCACATTTCCTATGGGGGTCCATTTGGACCCGAACACCCCAAGTGTGACTATTTTTTTTACAACCACTTAGACTGTTCACATCCTGTCCCCAATTTTTTTGGGTGTTCATATACCAAATACCAACAAAGTCACCAAATTTCGGACCATTCCGAAGAAGCTGTGATTTTTAACATTTTTTTATTTGAATGCTTCGGGTCCATTTGGGCCGAACAACCCCAGAGGGTTAAGCATTGTTTTTGGTTACTGCAGCTTATTAAAAATCTTCATTAACACTTTTTAACTCTATTAAGGCCGATTAACGTTAATATTAAAAAGGTTACTTTTACTAAAGTAAAAATTTAAAACACTAAATTAATAGTTAACACGAAATTAACCTTTACCCTCAAAAAGCATTTCAAGCGGGGAGTAATTCTCCACAATTATAACTGTAAAAATCCATTCAAGTCTGGCTCAATTCTCATATGGAAATTTTTCACAATCCATTAATTTTCCCTCACTGAATATTCAGTTTCACTCAGACACTCACATTATCACAGAACTAAAATGGGTCGTGAAAGCGGTTTTATGTTGATAAGAAAAAAGCGAAAAAAGCCCAAAAACGTGAGAAACACATTTATTTTTCATTCTGTTATCACTGGTTATTTCCCAGTGAACAGTCAAACACAGATTTCATGTCCTTATAGGGCACATTTCTTGAAAATTCCAGCATTCTTAACATTGCAGCATTTTGTCTCAAAAAGAAAAAAGGAAACATCAAACAAATGTAAAATTCAACCAGGACTTTTAAACATCTTCAAACCAGCCCATAATATTGTCCTGCGATGGTCAAAGTTTTGGACTAAATGTTTCATGTCTTCTTGATCCACAGCTGTCAGTCAGTCAGTCAGTGTCCCCTTGTCCACTAGAGCTCTGCAGAAACCGCAAGGGTGGGTAGATGGGAAGGTGCGTCACCAGGTTAAGCTGCCAGGGGTTTAAACTGTATAGAACGTAATATGAGGAGGATGGGGGAAGTGTCATGTTTTGAAAGCACAAGACATCAACAACCACAGTAGAAGTTAACATTACAGCCTTTAATGAACATCAAGCAAGTGTACTAAACAGCCTTATCCAAGAGCTGAAATAACGGATACCTAGAGCTAAATCTTTTTAGTTGATCTAGCTAAATCGCGAGGGGGCGGCACCCAAGCCTAGGCCAGCACAGGTGATAGTGAGTGAGTGTGTTCTGTCAGTGTGTCTATCTGAAGAGCCTGTGGCGATTTATGGGAGAGCCAATCTCAATCTCGCTACCTTCGCTGTCGCTGCTGGACTCAGAATCACTGCTGCCGGAGTAAGCGCCGAGCCCTGGCAGGATGCCCACGCATACAGCGGCGGAGGGCAGGTGGAGAACACCCGAGCGGGGCACGTCCACGCCAGGGGATTTGGGCTCCACCGCCTCTTGCTCTGAGAACACAAAACAATACACGCACATAGAGCGCACGCATTCTCTGATGCATTTGACTTCTAACATGCCAGGTTAATATGTTTCTCTCGATTTCTAGCAGGAAATATTACAAAATGTTTACATTTACATTATTTAAAGAAATATTCAAACTCTGTCAAATGCCACAGGATTTTTTGTCAGTTGGAAAGAAAAAAAAAGTGTTGACAAATGCACTTACAATAATTGTCTATTGTTAAATATTATTACAATTTAAAATTTTAATTTTAATATATTTTAAATTTATTCATGTGATGGTAAAGCTAAATTTTCAGCATCATTACCCCTGTTTTCACATGATCCTTCAGTAATCATTTTAATATGCTGATTTGGTGCTCAAGAAAAAATTCGGCAACACTTTAGTTTACTGTATTTAACTAGTTGCTTAACATGAATATTATTGGATATTGGCTGTTTATAAAGCACAAATGAATGCCTTATTCTGCATTACTATATTCTAAATCCCTTAATCCTATCCATTACCTAAACTTCACAACTACCTTACTATAAGCAGTAATCAGTAGTTTATTCCAGTAGCACATCATTGCAGTACACGAGATCCAGAGGGCGGAGTTGGATCCAGATCTAAGGGGTGGAGATGGGTAGGATTAGGGGTGGGGTTAGGGATCAGTGGGTGGAGATGGTTGGGTTTAGGTATATGTAAGGTGGGAGGAGTTCAACTCCTCCCCCTGGATTCGTGTTCTGCAGTGAGGACCATCTCGTTTATTGAGGCAAAAGTCTCAGTTAATAGTGAGAATAGGACCCTAAAGTGCGAACAACTTTTCTTCTTATTATCACTGTTGAAAACAGTTTCAGTGCTAAACATTTATGTGGAAAAAAAAATATGAAAAAAAAATTCAGAATTCTTTAAAAAATAATAATATAATATATATAATTTTTTGTAACAATTTAAGTCTCTACTGTCACTTTTGAACAATTTAATGCATCATTGCTGAATAAAAGTGTAATTTCTTAAAAACTGACCCAAAACTAGTGTTCAGTAATGTACAAGTTTTTTTTTTAAACAAAATTAGTCATCAAAATTATTTTCTGCCATAAAACTCAGCACTGTCTTAAGTTTAAGGTATTAAACTTCAAAAACATTTTTAAAAATACTTTAAAAAAAAAAAAACGTAAAAAAGGCAATTAAAATAGTTACAGATCCAATAATGATCTGAAAATCACTTTACATAATTACATTAAGTGAAGGCAGCATTATACTACAATGCTCACCTGTCTGACTGCCATTGCCGGCTACCGTCTCCTCTACTTTCTGCTTTTTAATCCCTTCTGAGGACTGAGATGAGCTGAACAAAGACAAAAATGAATCACAAATCATTATACATTAAGAATATGCAGTCTTTTTTCTACATCTTTAAAATACATTAATGCTCGATTTCACAAAAATGCATGTTTGAGCTATTTAAACTGAAAGCAACTTACACTGACTTATCTTAAAATGTCAGTGCCATTGTTTTGTCTCAAGATACACACTACTTATGTTTTTTTTCTAAGGCAGTTTTTTATAAAAACTACTTAAATGTTCTAATTTAAATAAGGCCTAGTCCAGGCTTAATACGAGCCCTGCCAGTGAAACCAGGCCTAAATATAATAAGTGAATAGATGTTGAGGTACCTGCGTCGTTTCACTGCCCCAGCCAGCAGGTGGGCCTGAGACAGGTGACTGGTTCTGTGGGTCTCTGAGGGTTTGGTGCCCGCCTTTTTCTCTGGCTCCTTCTTCTGGCCCTCGGTGGCTGCCAGCTTCTGCATAGCGCTGTGAGGTTCACTAGTTAAGGAAAAATCACTGCATGCACTTAGGTGTAATTAAACTGAGAAAACTTCACAGCAACATGACAGCCATACTTTCCGACCCTGCTGTTGTGGTAAGCCACTTGACGAGTGCAGTTTTTTCTTTTATACTGAAATGTTCTCAAAAACCTAAATGAACTTCTTAGAGAGCTCCACTTTAACAGCGCACAAACATAACTAAACCCACAGACAGATGAGGAAGCTAGGATAAAGAGGGCAAATGCTCAAAAAAAGTCACCACAGAAGCTACCACGGATATCAAACCTACTTCCTTTTTTCGTTTAGTGCATACAGATGGCCTAAAAAGTTGACACACTTACAGGTAAGAGAATTTGGTGCCTCCACGGGAGGCAAATTTAGTAGAATTAGGGCACATTACTGTGTTATTCTACAGATCATGGTTCTCAGTAGTGCTTTTAGATGCAGTTATCAACCCCAGAGAAAGGTTTCAGTTGCCACGACAACGCATCCTCCAACCTTCTATCTACAGGCATACCTGATTGGCAGAAGAGAAAATCTGATCGTATTAGATGTTACATGATGAGAAATCAGTTGTATGTTATATATGATTTGGATAAAAGCATGACCTTTGATTTTCGATAGTTTAACGCAACAAATTTGTGCCAATGGGGAACAATCTGCTGTAATTCATAATTCATTGATGCAGACCAAAATCACACACACAATAATACTGACACAAAACATGATTCAGCCCTGCATAGGATTCATATAAATTATTCAAACCATTTTCCTTTTAATTCAAAGAAACAGATCAAATGAGTCAATTGTTCGGGAGTCATTGTACGCATGTACACTCAAATAAAGGTTGAGCCTTTTTTCAAGATTTACGCATTAGAATTAATAGTAAATTTCCATCTAATTGAATTGAATTATCATTAAATATTATTCATATTATGATAAGAATTTTTGATTAGTAAAAACTACAAACTAGATCTTAATAAAACACTTTGTATAAATCTTAATGGAATGGGAATGGACCACGTAGTTTGTGATTTTTTTTTTTTCTTTTTTTTTTCAAATTTTTAAAAATTTCAAAAAAATTTAAATAAAAATGAAAATGTGTTTAAATTTAAGTTTTACTAAATGTTTTTGGAACCTGTATACCTCAAGATTTGAGAGTTCAGGGTATATGTGACGGAAGATAATCTTCATTTCTGAAATACGCTGTCGGGGCTTAAGAGATAAAGCAGCGCGCTGTGGCATTAAACTACTGGATGTGGGAAACTGAAAAAAAAAAACGACTTGACTTTTTTATGTAAAAATGTGCTAGATGGCCATCTTTGACCTTAGCACCAGTTCACCAAAGATTATGACAATTAAAGGTGCAGTAAATGATTTCTGAGAAACACTTGATATTCGAGGTTGAGACCCAAACAAACACACCCTACCGTATACAGTATACCATGCTTGGGCTTGTTAAATTTGGGCGAATTCTGATTGGCTGTCATTGTTTTTACCGTTCATCAGTTGAAAAAATCGTTCTGAAATTGGTTCCAACTTTGATTCTTCTTTGGCCTTAGTGTAAACCCTATTCCCATAGAATCAAACGATTATTAAAACTTTATAGTTATTGTCCTGTGTGAATGGCAATTTAGAACGATTTTTTTATTAGAACGAAAAAAATATACAATTCTTTTTGTAACATTGCAGTATTTGTTGAAGTCGGCGGCGGCGCATATCGGCCGCAAAGGGGGGGGCTCGCGAACACCCTTCTGAAACCTAAAATGATAAATGGGACACCGCCGCGACCTTAGACTTAACAAACAGGCGCACACACCAGCCACAAGACTGAAAGGGCCATTTGGGACAGGACCATGATGTGTTTACTGGCACGAGGGCAGGACAACCTTTTGGATTTAATCAATTCCTGTTAGACAATATCAAGTCCCACCATACATTTTTTTCTTGTTTGAGAAGACCTTGGATATGTGTCACAATAGGAAAGTGCTGACTTTAAAGAGCTTGACAATTTTAAGTGTAAGACTATATAACTTCAGCACAGGCTCAAAATAAGCAGACAGTTATCGTGTGTTTGTGTGGAAAGACGCTAATATAGTTTTCATTCTTAGAGTGAATAGGTCTTTACAACCAGTGGCAACTTTGCTTAAAAAAAGTGGGTGGGACAGGAGTGTGTGAGTGTGTATTTGAGAATATCAGAAATTCATTTCAATAGTACATTGAGCTTATTTTATTATGATATGTGATAGTTTCATCCAATACATTGCTAGTCTCAAGAGTATTTACATTAGTGAATAATACGTAGATCCGCACTGAACATTTGTGTGTGAATGCACGGGTGGTAGACTTTTTGTTAAGCATATCGTGCTAGAGTTTCTACGTTTTTTAAGCGCCTTGAGCAATAGATTGAAGCGCTTGTCAGTGTGAAGAGTGTGCAGGAGCGCCTAAAGCGCACTGTTCCCTTAAAGCTGCATCATGCACTCCGTTTGCACCAGATCACATCTTATTTTACACAAACGAACGAATTGCTAATCAACTGGAGAGGTTTCTTTTGTATAAACTACATCCGTGCCACCAGATGTTTGAAAAAGTGGTGGGAACAATATCAGCGTTGGCAAAAAGTGGTGAAAATTACGCTTGTTTATGGCGCATTTCCCTACTTTTTCAGCGTCTTGTCTAATTTTAGATGCCTTGTCAAGTTAAAGAAGTTTGATTTCAGTCCCTGTGACCATTCCGTATGAATTTTGAAAAGCATTTATATTGCTTTATCAAGTAAAAGTTCTTTATGTGAAAGGTTTTGGATGACAAGGTATAGTCCAAAACGTCCATCTGTAAAACAAACTTAACTGCTTGAAACTGAACACACAGAGACTGTCTGTTTTCCAAACCTCGAAGCCATTTGCCAAGCCAGCATGATTTGCTGTCAGTGCGTCAGGTTCCTCTTGGGGCCGTCTTGTTTGAGAACATGCACACTAACAAGGTACAAGAACTCTTTTTTACTTTTCACCAGCCAGCCATCATTGCGCTTGACAGCTGAAGCTTCTACCATCAGCTTAACGAAGGTGAACATAGAGACAGACTCAGGCAGAAAGCAAAACTCCCTGTCAATTTTTTTCAAGAGCACATGCCAGTACTTTAAGGTGCAAAAGGATATCCTGTATTCTTTTATCTCTTTGGCTTCTTCATCCCGTCTGTGTTTCTCTATTAGAGACTGTTGCCGAGAGACTTCGTCGAGAAAGCTGGATTCGTCTTCATCCAGGCCTTTAACCATGTTCTCTGTGGAGAAACAAAACAATAGAACGAAAAAGACTTCATGAATATTAGATTTTTTCTCAATCATGAACAGTTCTATTGTCTGTGAATATGACCACCGTGCTAGTAGAACACCCTTGGATATCAACGGCAATAGGAGCAGCAATGGTCGCTAGGGAGACCGAGAGTGGGTTTGTCACCAGGGATACGGAGATAAAGACGAGATGCTAAGATCATGCCAGTCTCCCATCAGCACCCGCAAGAACAGACCTGCTCTTGATCTCCATCACTCCCATCTGTTCACACTCATAGACACCCACCGACATGCTCAAACACACACCAGCGCATGTGTATGCAAGGACACGCATGTTTTTGCACAAACGGTGATGGATAAACCCCAAAATGAGGTCAAATATAGATGGGAGAGGCAAGCCACCTGAGACCGTGTGATGTGTGTAATCTGAAAGATCGGTTTTTGACAGAAATAAACGGATGATGTTTATGGCAGGAAAGCAGCGTTAGCGCTTACTGAATTTGAACTGCTCCTCATATTCTTCCTGTTTCTTGTCTTTCTGCTCTTGTAGCCTTTCGAAGAGAGATCGAGGGTCGTACGCCTCCTCAGGGGCCTCTGTGGCGCAGTGAGAATGAACAGTCAAAACTTGCAAATGCACGTGAGAGAATTAATACCTATCACTAAAGGAGTAGTTCACTTTCAAATGAAACTTTCCTGATAATTTACTCACCCTCATGTCATCCAAGATGTCCATGTCTTTCATTCTTTAGTCGAAAAGAAATTAAGGTTTTTGAGGAAAGCATTCCAGGATTTTTCTCCATATAATGGACTTCAATGGCAACCAACGGTTTGAAGGCCCAAACGTCAGCCTGAATGCAGCTTCAAAGGCTCGACACGATCCCTTTTTCGAAAAATAAGTCTTATCTAGTAAAACGATTGGTCATTTTCAAATGCTTTTTATTTTTTTTATTGACCTTTTAACCACAGATGCCCATCTTGAACTACCTCTGAGATGCATTACATCATCACGTTGGAAAGGTCAGTTGGAAATACAGACCCAGTGCTTACAAGTTTGGAGTAGGAGGACCGTTCAAAGTTATTGTATGTTGAATGACACACATTTATATATATTTGTGTCAGTTTATTGTTTAAAATGGTTTAAACGTGTGCATATCCTGGATGTCAAGCGCAACCTTTTCAACGTGATGACATAATGTGCGGCACATCTCAGACAGAGAGAGTACAAGACGGGCATTTGTGGGCATCATTTTTTTTTTAATTAAGAAAATGACCAATCGTTTCGCTAGATAAGGCCCTTATTTTTCGACTGGGATCATGTCGAGCCTTTGAAGCTGCATTGAGGCTGACATTTGGACCGTTGGTTCCCATTGAAGTCCATTATATGGAGAAAAATCCTGGAAATGTTTTCCTCAAAAACCTTAATTTCTTTTTGACTGAAGAAAGAAAGACATGGACATCTTGGATGACATGGGGTGAGTAAATTATCAGGACATTTTTATTTGAAAGTGAACTACTTCTTTAAGCCTCATGTTAATTTGTGTGATTGATGCTGACAAAGTGAACATCTCACCCTCCGGGTCATCTGGCTTGCGGACCTTCTCCCATTCTTCCTGTCTTTTTTTCCTTATCTCGTCTAGTTCAGATTCTGACACAAACTTTCGGCTGAGGTCCACACCATCTGCCATGGCAGAACCTACACAACACATGCAGACATTTGAGTTATTTATGTATTGATCACCACATTTATCAATATATTTAATCCATCAAATCTCACCAAAATGCTGTTTATTTAATCAGGATAAAAACTGTAGGGAGTTCATGAAGTCATCAGCAGGAGATTCTGTGCAGAGATACATAGATGGAGAATAAGAATTTGTGATCATCGTTGCCCACATTATAAATGTATGCAGAACTAATGCATTTAAATATTCATTTGAAATTTGAAGCACAATATAATTTATGCTCCGGGTCTATTAAAGTCTATCTTACAAGCTTGGAATGACATGAGGGTGAGTCATTAATGACACAAGTTTCATTTTTGGGTGAACTAACCCATTAAAGGTGCTATATGTAACTTTCTTCTAAAATGAATCCTTTTTTATTGCCTGTGTGTGAAGGGGTTGTAATCACACATTACAATGATCCACTTGTCAGGTTTTGCTATTAACTCTGAAGGCCAGTGTTCCTATTTCTATGTGAAGTCTCCGGGTCGGATTTTCTGCGAAATCCATCGGATGTGACGCTTTTTATAAACAGTCTATGTGACGGCATTGCAGCGTACGACATGGAGTGAGTCTGACAACACCCCAAAACGACCTGGCTTCAGCACAACACAAATGCCACATAAATATAAAAACAAAACAAAAAAATTGTCTGGTGACGTTCGTCAGGCCAAACGTGAATCGGATCGACTTAGGACGAAAACACGGACCAACATCGGCAGAGCGTTTGAATAATGGAGAGACCTCCGCAATTTTTATTGTGATAAATTACAAGTTTTCAGATATGCAGAAATAATGGTAAACTAATAAAATAGCAAGGTAAACTACAACATATATGAGACATGAAATGTGATGCTTTCTCCGGTGTGTTGAAAGTCTCAGTGTAGCCGTGTACTGAGTGCTCACTCTTGTGTTTGAGCAAGAGCACGAGCGCTCTTTCAAAAATTGGTTGCAATCTGAAACATCACCTTTGAATGGATTTTGGATTGTGCACGAAAAGGTAAACACTGCCCCCTAGTGCTAGATTTGAACACTGAATTTACTAAATTCCATATTCCACACGTACCTATTTTTTAGATTTTCTGCTATTTAAACGATTTAAAGTGCCGGTATATGATATGATAGCCTGTATATGCATACATGGTCATACGTAAATGGTCAAAAAAAAAATGTTACTCTATTACTAATCTTAAAAATGAATCTAACTCAAACCAAGGCTTATAAACACTTCCACTATCAGCGTGGATTTGTGCATGATAAAAAAAACATCACGTATCAGGTAGTATTGTGATAACAATAAACATCAAAACAAAATAAAAACAACACATATGAAGTGGATGCAATTTGGGTTAGAAAAGTCAGTGAATTCGTTCGGTTACTTTAATTTTGAACACATTCAAGGAATACTGCAGTATTATTTTAATAAGACAGCACCGCAGCTTCAGGGCCTAATATTGATCTGAAGTCGAGCGTGCAAGGTTTTGATCGCACTCACGAACTTAACTGGATCAGCAAGCAGTGATAGTTACACAGCTATTCGTTTAACACACATTATATAACGCTAAAGTTGGTTTGTTGTACACGGTAGACAAATAATGACCGAAGTCAAAGAAGAGACAAGGAATAAATAATTATTTTAAGAAGGAAATGGTATCAGATATTTACCTAGTCCGGTTTTGTGTCCTGGTAAAAGCATCCCTTCAGAAACAACTGCTAAGGGCACGTAGTTCCTACGCAGGAACAACATGGGAAATGTAGTTTTCATGGGAAAGTTTTGCTTTTAGAGAATCAATTGTCGTATTATTATTATTATTATTATTATTATTATTATTATTTATTATTTAAGTGTACATAATTTTAAACAGTTAAAAGTACAACTAATTTAATTTTACTTTGAACGTTTTTTTAATAAATGGGAACTGAATGCTTTAAATGTTATACATATGTTTAAACCTGTTAATTTTATGAAAATTACAGTTTTTACAGTTGTCTAATTTGGTTTTGCCTGTCCAATTAATCAACACAGTAGAGAAAAGCAAAGGTGTTAGTATTGTAGATGCCAGTAAGTACCGTTTTTGAGATTACAGATTGTTGTTTCTTTGTGTTGAACCAGCTTGTATGTATACGTTTGAGTAGCAACATATCTGTGGATTAACTAACGTTACATCACTTGAGTTTTTATTTTATCGATATAAGATCGGGGCTGGATCGCCTAACAAAGATGTCAAAGATGTATGTTACACACAGCATTTGATTTATACATTTTAAATTGAAATTTGTTTACACAACACTGTCTCTTGAGCAGAATTTGGTTTGTTTTACTGGTTGCTAGGAGGGGTTGGGTCCAGCATCATGTCATGTGCTGGAGATATGCGACGACACAAACGACGAATCGTTCTTTTGAATCACATCTTTTTATTTGAACCGATTCACTGAACCGAGTTGAACAATATGTTCATGAATTGGTCGGAACGGATCTTTCGGAAAAGAGCCGAGAGAACGAATTAACTTAAAATAACATGTTAAAAGGTTTGTCAACATATCAACATGCTATTAAATAAATAGCATTTTAATAAAACATTTTGGGCGAAATGGTCGAATTAATTAAAACAAAATGTATTACCCTACTGTTTATTGTAACAGAAGGCAGGTTAGCTTCTAAATTACTTTGTTTTCATGAGCTGATTATTGGCTACAACAAAGGGAATGTGGAAACAACAGATTAGCTTACAATAATTGGAAAGATGTTAATGTAGGCCTACTAAACAACAAAATGTGATATTTTTATTTTATTTTTATTTAACAGTCTATGGTGACAACATGTAGCCTACAAAAACAGATACAACACCAGTCTGTCTGAATGACAACACGACCACATAATGACGCAATTATACTGACGTAAAGAACAGCGGAATCACTTTTGTAACCGGTTCTCTGCAATGAACAGCTCAAAAGAACCATTTCGCGGAAATGAGTCTGACTTCCCATCACTGACTACACAGAGCGCTCATTGATCCTTTAGCTATTTATCTCACACCGATTCCAGTCAGTCAGTGCTTTCAGTTCTCAGTCTAACGGTTACTTTCATTATCAAACACTGGCTGGATCTGTCTTTGTGTGTGGGTCGACAAATTGTTGATTGTTGAAGTGGTTGTGTATGAGAGAACGAATCATTTACTTCTTTACTGAGAAGTAAGCACACACACTTCCCGTGTAGTCTTTGTGTTCGGCCTACGGATCAGTGCTGCTGCATTTACCGAAAATTCTCCACTTTACCTGGTGAGTAAATACTTGTCTCGGGAATATTTACTTTATTTGATGACAAAATATGTGGTAGTGTATGTGCCAAGTCAAGAGAAGCTTTAAACTGATGTTTTGTTCATCTGTTTGGAGGTGTGGCTAGTTGTATGGTTGCTAACGTTAATTTCTGACATGATGAAAAAGGCTGTTTCAAGACCGAGTAAGTTGCCTGTCTAGACAGCATTGTTGGAATTATATTTACGTTCGTAACATTTGGGCATAGGCATGTGCCGTTTAAAAATCAGAATGTGTATATAAGGAGAAATTAGACAGAATGACTGCCTGAGTCACCATTTACTTTAAATATGATAATTCATAATATAAGTCCATGGTGACTTACGCTGTCAGTCGCAAGCCATCTGCCCAATATCTCTTTTTTTGCGTTTAATGGAAGAAAGAGAATAATGCAGGTTTTAAAATCTCAATGGCAGATATTTTATTTATAGATTAACTGTCCCTTTAAATGCTGCCTACGGAGACGGCTCACTAGAGTTTGAGACGCAGCCTCAGAGACTCAAGTTTATTGACGCTAATTTACTGAAATGACTGCGTGCTGTTTATAAGCTTTCAGCGGGTTTGTAAATTACAGTGACTGTGTACACTGGTCAGTGTTCATTCATTCATGTGTGAGTGGATTGTTCTGTTTTAAAAGAGGTTTTCGTAAAGTTGTTTGGTGTGCTAACGTTAGCTGTTAGTTAGCCGCTGCTAACACTGACAACAGCTGTAATCGCGTTTCCTAGCAAGAATATATATATAGTTAAAAGTGTTTATAGTTTATGAATGTTTAATTACGTACTGTCTGCTGTTTAATGTAGTTATTACACACTATAAATAACCTTGTATAATCTGTGTATATGTTGGTTAAAATCAAATTAGTCAGGTTAGGTTTTAGATATTACTTGTAGGCTACAGTCTGTACTAGACACTTACAAACTTTATACCTTACAGCAAAACATCGTTCGCTAGACAAGACCTGGATATTATTGTAACTAATAAAATAATCAATAATGGCATAGTTACACCAATAGTATAAAATAATATTAATAATTAATATTATTATAATGCAAAATTTAATTAACAAATGTTGACCAAAATGCTGTATGTGTGTGTGTATATATATATATATATATATATAATGCCATCATTAGAGAAGTGGATATAATCACTGTTTGAGTTTTACTTTGACAAGAATATTGGTAGTTCCTTTGATCATTCTATGTGCATGTTTGCATGGTCATGTTTTTCTGTCCACAATGATAATAATTTGATGCATAATCCTTTTCAGGAGTGAAAACCTACCAAACCTTAGGATGCGCGTTGACTGCACCATCAGCTCTGCACGTCTGCATCTGGCTGCTGATGGCCTGCAGTAGCACAATGACTGACATGTCTACCCGACCCGTACTGAGACACCCTCTAAAGTCCTTCAAATGATATGATAGTAGCCACCTGGATTGCATTCTGTGCCAGCAGGAGCCTCGTGCGGGTTCTACGACTCACCGTAGAACAGCTGCAGTCAGTGCAGTTTTGGCCCAGCCTCTCATCCGGTGGAGCCATGGGGAACAGCTGCGTGTGCAGAGAGGACAGTGATGTCGAGGAGGGATCAGCCCCTCGCAGGCAGCTCAGGCGAGTGGATAACTCTGTGTCTGATCCCCCAGAGGCCAGAGGCAGTCGGCCCAGGGACCCGGTTCGACCGCCCCGGCGAGGTCGAGGGCCGCACGAGCCACGTCGGAAAAAACAAAACGTGGACGGTTTGGTACTGGACACGCTGGCCGTCATCAGAACTCTAGTTGACAAGTGAGTGAACCTTTAATGACGAGGAGATCTGCAGAGATTTGTCATTAATTCTGGGTAGGAATGAATCATGTATGTCATCTCAATTTCAGTTCCTAATTTTTGTGCGTCAGCATTCAGCAATAACATCACTTTACTTTGACTAAAAGCATTGAACATACATTTGCATTGTGGGCTTGTTTTCCCAGTTGTTTACCACAGGGATGACACAACATCTGCAAGAGCTTGAACTTTTATAATAAAAAACCTTTTAATGTGCAGATCTTATTGAGAAGCCTGGCAGATCTCCGTAATGAGCATGCCATTATTTATTTATTCATTTGTTCGCACAGCACCACATTTAATCTTAATGTATTATTGCCCAAGACAGCAGCTTGAGATAACAGAGCGCTCCTTCATGTTTCTTTTAACAATTTGGCTGGATATCAGAGTCGCCAGTCACTCTTCCTCTTTGTCACATGTTTTTACACCTTCCTACATAGCCAGCCTACAGCTATCTCGTAATGATGGATGTTCACTTTAGACGAGAACTTCTATGCGGCCATCAGATTTGGTGTCTCTGAACCTGCCATCTTATTTGTAAAGCCTGCATATCTTTATATAGAGAATTACAGTTTTGACTTTTTTTGTTTCCCAAGAAAGACACCTAAAGGACACAAGAGGGAGTCTCTGCTTTCTTTTTCTTTTCTTTTCATTTCTTTTTTACTTTTCTTTTTCACAGCTGGAATATATTTTGGTTGCTCAACCACATCCTTTGACAGCCGTTTTTTTTTTTTACATGCTTGCACCTTAAAGGGGTCATAATGGCACATGCACTTTTTCAAGTTGATTGTACTGAAATGTGTGTTGGCTGTGCCTGTACACAACCATCATATAATGATAAAAATCTATCCAGTGTTTTATTCTCCTTATAAGTTTTCCCCTGCCTCAGATTGAGCTGTTCGACCGTGTGACGTCACGCGTTTGGACACCCCTCCTACGATTGTTGATTGACAGTAGCGTTTTTAAAACTGTATAGTGTAAAATTGTATATTTTATATTAATCTTTGCAAATCGCTTGCACGCTTCGCAATGAATGCGGCTAGTTTACACTCAGGGCAGGGCACATTACGCCATGTTTTCAATATAATTCAATGTTTATAATGAACAACGCTTTATGGTTATTGTGTTATTACAAACTGAGTACGTGTACATCAGGAAACACATAGTGTTCATACATTTCACTAAGTTACTCTACCCTGCCAGTACACAAAGATAGATTAAAGTGACATTATGTTGACCAACCATTCAGAAACGTCCTGTTCGAGCCTTAATTGTCAAACATCTTTGCGTCCGTCATCTTGTTCGGGGTTCGACTCGAGTTCAAATTGATACAATTGCAAAGATGTGTCCTCAGAGACTCCCACTGCCATTTTAAATCCAAAATATACCCTTAACTGTTGTCAAGGCAACACTCCACGTGCGGCAACACTCCACGTGCGTTGTGTCAAAGCACCCGCAGAACAGAGGGGCGGAGTGAGTGAAGCTCATTATCATTTAAAGGCATATTCACTGAAATTGCATGCTGAAAACAGTATTATTGTTTTCTTACAATACTAAGAATTTTTAATTAAAGTATACTACAAACTTTTCATTTAGACCCTAAAGAAACAAATGAACTTTTCTGAAAATGGCATTATATGGCTGGATGATATGGCTGTGAGAAACCTCTTGATTTCAGACTTTTGAGGGTCAATATTTGTATCTATTTCTATGTTTTTACTTCATTCAAGTTGTATTCTAAATGACGCACAATACACTTAATGCAGTTATACACTATGAACTCAACTGTGTACGGTCTCAAAAAGAAAAATTCTGTCATTAATGACTCACCCTCATGCCGTTCCAAACGCAAAAGACCTTTGTTCATCTTCTAAAGACAAACAAAGATATTTTTGATGAAATCCACGAGCCAACCCCCCACGGAATCGATGCAATTGCCACTTTCAGAAAGGTAGTAAAGACATTGGTAAAATAGTCCATGTGACTACAATGGTGTTAAGAAGCGACGTGAATATTTTTTTGTGCACAATAAAAAATGTCTTCCCTTCCGTATCAGTCTCTGAGGCTGTTCACGCGTAAACAGTGCAGTTCAGTGCTCGTTATTGGCCGGATCCTGCTTTAGTGCCACACGTATGCGTTGTGATGCTCTCATGAATGGCGTCAGAAACTGACATGGAAGAGAAGAAATTATTGAATATTGAAGTTGTTATTTTAGGGGTTTTTTTGCACACAAAAAATATTCTCATCTGGCTTTAAATAAAAAAAAAAAGGTGTGGTGTGTGGATTGAGCAGAAAATCAGTGTTTGTCTAACTAGAACATGCCCCTGTGTGACCATTACACAATCACACAGCAGTCAGACACCCATGGCTTGGGGCATTAGACTTCTCTCACTCTCTCTCTCACGCTTTCTTCTTTTTTTTTTTCCAACCACCCTCATAGCTATCTTTTCCTTGTCCTCATTTGCTGTTTGAAAACATCACCCCACCAACCACTGATTTATGACTGACAAATGAACCACACTGTTGACACTCCACAGAGTAGAGGCAAATTTATTTTCCCTAAATGTCTCTGGTGGTGTTTGGATCGTGCCGGGCTCCAGGAGCACCTCAAGGGATTTTGCTATTGCTGTTTAGATTTACTGTTGCAGACCCAGGCTGCAAAATGGATGCATAGAGCCTAAAGCCAAAACAACCCCAGCAGCGGCAGTCTGCCCTCCAATAACAATCCGTCATGTGTCGCACAATCACCCATTATACCATTAGGCTTTCATAACTAATGTCTAGAGCAGCTAAGGTCTAAATAAGATGCTTACACACTTATGCACCCAGGGTATGAGGCACACTGGCAAATCATGTATATATTAGGTTGCTCTACTTTTTTTAAATTAACCTTTGTATGTGTTTTTTTTTGTTTTGTTTCAGTGACCAAGAGCCGCCGTACTCCATGATCACACTGCATGAGATGGCAGAGACAGGTGAGTCTAAGACCCCTAAAACGCTGAAGAATTTTCATGTGGGCTTAAATTGTGATATTCTTAATGCTATATGCTAATATAAGCGGTTTCACTTAAAACTTTTGCTTATCCATTTGTCTAATATAGTACAATAAAATAATTGTATTTTTTTCTTAAATAATTTTTACAGTAAAATATATTACAATAGTAGTATTTCTTATTTTGTTTGTTTTATGATAATAATATTTTTTTTTATTATATATTTGATGGTAGTATTGAAATATAATCACAAAATTGTGTCCAAATTATGCAGCCCTACAAACAACCTTGAGGTTTTTTTTTAAATCACATTTTATAGTGCAATTTTTTATCAGAAAAATGGCTATTAAAGTTTTCCTCCAAATCGTGCAGCCCAACCACCTCCTGAGGTGATAGGATTGTTATCCACCTAAAATGCGTCTTTCACGGCCTAAGGCTTGGCTTTTTATGATTGGGCAGCTATTCAATGCATGATGTATATAAAAAAACCTAAAATACCTGAAGAGTGCAATCTGTTAGCATTCCTATTCATCCCTATGAATCATGGATGCTTGAAACTAACCAAACTAGATGGTGCCATCTTTGGTGCCTTCTCCTTCATTATTTTCTGCTTGCTTGTTAAAAGATGTCTTCTTCCAAAAAAGTGAAATGTTGAGGTTTTTTTTTAAGAGAGAATGAGTAGCTGCATTTGAATAGTCACCAGTGGAGAAACAGTGTAGCCAAAGTAGTGAACCACCCAAACCTTGACTCCCTCTTTCCCAGCTTGTTTATTTTTCCATCAGGGGAACAAGTGCAGCTTGTTGTGTGACCCTCTGGCTACTGATTAAGTTGTTAGGCTGCTAATCTAACAGCGGAAGCTGTGGAAGCTCTGTGTATATTAGTGATGGCTGCTTTTGAAGTTTGGCTCGTGCCCTGTGCTGCCATTGTCATGCCGTTGCTCTGTTCTGTTGCATTAGCTGAAGTTAGACTTTAGCTAATGCCATGGCTCAGCTGTAGACTTTAGAGTCCCGTAGAGCCTCACAACTGCAGGAACAAAGACAGTGTATGATCATGACTATATGCTACACTGCTTGTGCTTGATTACAAGAGCTGTGTGCTCCTGTTTTGATACTTACCAAATTTAGCTTTTTTAATTACTCATGGATGTTAGCTTTACGCTGTAATGCTGAGGGGTTGTTTGGGTCTGTATATGGACCAGACTCTAATTGGGGGTAAAAATTGAGCAAGATCATGTGATCATGGGTTTCCAGCTTGCTTCTTTTCTTGTGCCATTGCCAAAGCCTGTGTGACGGTTGATTTTTATTTATACGTGCATCTGTCACTCCGAGCTGAGCCTGCATGTTGTGGTTTGAGACTGTGTGGCGTCAGGTGGCTGCTAAGATTTTCATGCAGGAGTAAACAGGTGGAAACATTTCCCTGGGCTTTAAGACTCGTATCAAAACTCTCTGAAGAGCATTTTAGTGTAGTATAATATGTAGTAATTTTAGCAATTTATCTCATTTGGTCATCATCATCATCATAGACCATCTGCTCTCAAGATGTTGGCATTGAAAACCCATATCAGTCAAACAATAACTTTCAATGGTGTGTGAAAGCATAGTCATAATAATGGCTCTGTAATACACAAAGTATATCGCATAGACCGAACTTCTGTTTCTTCTTCCCCATCCTCATTTTGTCTCTGTCCCTTTCTGTTTCTCACTCTGTAGATGATGGCTGGTTGGAAGTGGTGCAGTCTTTGATTAGGGTAATTCCTTTGGATGACCCACTAGGACCAGCCGTAATAACCCTTCTATTGGATGAATGCCCTTTGCCCACCAAAGTGAGTTCCCATCTGCATTACCACACAACTTTGACTGCCATATTATTTTTCCATCTCTGTTATCACTAATGGGCAGTAATGCAGCTCTATCTTTGGTCGCACTTTGAAAATGGACCACAACATTTCCCTAGTATTTGAGTTTATGTTGCTTTTGAGGAAAATTCCTCTCCCCGTCTGTCTAAGCATCTAATGATATCATTAGATGCTTCTGAAATGTTTCTTTTACACATCTTATGTTGATGTCAAGATTAAAAACTTTTTATAGTTTCTGTTTACAGTTTATAATTCAGACAGAATTGCGCAATAAGCCTGTTTTATGCTTCTGCTTCGAATCGACGGCATACTGCTGCATACGTCTGCGTTGCCCACGAATCCCCTCCACCGTAGCTCGACGTACACCTCCAAAAAAATGTAACTATGCATATGCGTTGAGGCTACGCAGACCACAAAGGCTGTGATTGGTTAAATTATACATCATTTCCGGAGTGTAGCTTTTCTGGTTTCCACTGTTGTTAGGAAAATGCAAGTGTTCGTGCCCGTGCATCCGTGCCATCCAGTGTGCGCTCCACACTCCCACAGACACTTGGATATGTGTCAAAATCTTGTGTTTATTTGGGATAATCTTAGCACTGAATTATTATTGTCCAACCTGTATTATGAATGAGATGTGACGAATTTCTTTGTTCCTTTTTTTGGATAAAAGCATCTTCTACATGTAGCCTAATAAATGTTATAACATGATATTGATATTAATTATTATTTTATAGATATTAATTATATTAATTTGATAATTATGATATAAATATGTTCATTTTTTTTTTTTTTGCGGACACGGACCCAAACACACCGCGTCTTCTAAGTCAGGTGACTGTAAATGCACAAAACCCTTATTCCATTGCAGTTTGGCGAAATATTCCTTTTTCAAATTGCCTGAAAAACCTTCTTATGCAAGCGTAAACTTTCTTGCGATAAACAGGATTTTTTGCGAAATAGACGTGTTTCCATTGTGCGTATCTTCAATTCGGAAATTCAATTTGCGCAATTTGAAGGGTAATGGAAACTGGCTATTGTCGGAAATGGAAAAAGTGGAACCGGCACACGGAACCAAAACAATCTAGCAAAGAGATTTGCGAACCACACACCCGGCCACGACGCCGTGGAGTTGATGCAGAAGCATAATGAGGCCTTAAGGCAGGTCTTATGATTTTATAATTGGTTTCATACTGATGCCAAATGTTTCAATCATTTGTTATTAATTGTCCTCTTTTGGCTTATTAAATGTCCTCTTTTAGCTATAACTAATTTGTATATTAAGTAACTATATTGTGATTGTATATCAAGATTTTTTTATGCTTTTATTCTGCAAGGATGCATTAAATAGATCAAAAGTGACGGTAAAGACATTGTTAAAAAAAGAATGCTTCAAATAAATGCTTTCAATTCAATCCTGAAAAAAAATCCACAACTGTTTTCAATATTGATGATAAGAAATGTTTCTCAAACACCAAATCAGAATTTTAAAATAAATTATGAAGAATCATGTGACTGCTGCAAAGTCAGCTCTTCCATTAAATACATTACATTTGAAAATATATTAAAGTAAAACAATAAATTAATGTCACAATATTACTTTTTTCCTGTATTTTTTATACAAAAAAAATCAACCTTGGTGAGCATAAGAGACTTCTTTCAAAAACATTAAACAATTCTGACTTGTTTACAAATTCAAGCATTGATGAAGAGTTCATTGTTTTTTTCAGGATGCTCTGCAGAAGTTGTCAGACATGTTGAATCTGAGTGCTGCTGTGGCGCGTCAGGATGCCCTCATCCCAGCCAAACACCGCAACACCACAGCAGTCCTGGGCTGTCTGGCTGAGAAACTGGCTGGTGAGGGACATGCAGATGCACACACATGCAGACACACTACATTTGATGTCCAGTTATTGTAAACAATTTCATGTAAGGGAACAGATTTTAAGATTGTTTAAAATAAAATCCAAGATCTGTTGCATCTTTGCACTAGCATGTTCCTCTGAAGCTAAAGAGCTGCGTTTGCAGTCTGTGAAGACCTGTCATGTCTGAGCATGCTGCAGGCTCCCTTAGAGGCCTGTGATTTGACAGCTCTGCTGAGGCTGCAGCACACAAACACATGCACACACTGTCCAGTTCTCTCAGTTTGAAGACATGTGCTTCTGTTTTTAAGGTCAAACACATTGCCCAAAGGAATCATTTGGTTAATACTGGGGTACTTCATCTTGTTACTTTCTACAGGTCCAGCGAGCATTGCGCTCCTCAGCCCTGGAACTCTGGAGTACTTACTGGAGAGTTTGGTGAGAGAATTGAGTGTTTTATTACACATACCGACTAAAAGGGTAGTTATAGTCAGTAAGGCTAAATAATACTTTTATTCAGACTAAATAAATTCATCAGGGGTTTTCACAAAAATATTACGCTAAACAATTTTTTTTCAAGATTGATAATAATAAATGTTACTTGAGCATCAAATTAGCATATTAGAATGATTTCGACGCTGAACACTGGATGAATGATGCTTCAAAATGCAGCTTTGCCATTACAGGAATAAATTCAATTTCAAATGATATTAAATAGAAAATGGTTATTTTAAATTGTAATAATATTTCACAATATTGCTATTGTTTTTACTGGATTTTTTAACAATTGAAGGTAGATTTGGTGACCAAAAGGCTTCTTTCAAAAACATTTAAAAAATCATACTGACCCCAAACCTTTGAACAACAGTGTATAATTGCATAAATCTGTAAATTATGAAACTTTTAACATTATTAGTGGACAAATTTATTTGTAAAAATGTAAATGCTCAAAAGTGTAGAATGTGGCCACTTTAAAGCTCATCTAAACAGTTCCTCATCCCAGTTTGGAGAGCTCCTTTTATGTTAATGCTGTAGTTTGGATGATTGTTTTGATGCTGGTGTCAAAGCTATTAACGTGGTCTTATTGGTCTTTCTAGAGTTCTGAGGCCCATCCCACTGTCATGCTGTTTGCTCTCATCGCTTTAGAGAAGTTCTCTCAAACCAGTAAGTATAACTCAGTTCAATATCAACTATAACTGTCAGTTCAAAATCTTCAAACAGGAACTTTTTTTTGGGGAAAAGGGTACTTTAATGAGAACCTGTCTTTGTCTCAGGTGAGAACAAGTTAACCGTGTCGGAATCATGTATCAGTAAACGTTTGTCTGTTCTGGAGTCCTGGTCAGATCATCCTGACTACCTAAAGCGTCAAGTGGGCTTCTGTGCCCAGTGGAGTCTTGATAACCTCTGTAAGTAACTTTAATTGCAAATGGTATGCGTAACTTTTTTTTGAATGGAAATCAGGACTTTTGGTGTGTTGTAGCTTTTACTGAGACTTTTTAAATGAAGAAGAACCTAAGAAATAAATATTTTCCACAGAATATAAAATCTTTTCAGTATTTTTTTAAATATCCTTCTGAATTCTATGCACTTGCTATGGGGAAAACACAATTAGCATTAATAGTTATCTTAACTGTTTGTTTTGTGATGATTTTATAGATAGATATTATATTAATATTCTTGTATATCTCACTGATAATTTTATCTTTTGTTACTCTTTGACCTGTAGTTATCAAAGAGGGGCGCCAGTTTACCTATGAGAAGGTGAACTTAAACAACATCAATGCCATGCTGAACAGTAATGACGTCAGCGAATATCTCAAGATCTCTCCTACTGGACTTGAGGTGAGAGACAAACCATTATTGTAAGTGTCGATAACATTCTGCTAAATGGATTTAGATATTATAAGATGTGTTCAACAGAATGGAACAAACTTCTCTCTGATTGGTAGATAAAATATATTTATTTAGAGCTCTTGCAAAATGCAAATAAAAACCAATGAAATGTACACACAGGGCATGAGGGGTGTTGTAGAGTAATTATTTTTTGCAGTCTTAGGCCTTGTTTTACACTGTCAGTAAAATGTGACCCAATTCCAATTTATTGAGTTTTATAGACATTGTTTCTTATTCAAAAGTGGTGTTTTGCAACTTCACATATCACAGAGCATGAAGCATATTTCGTGTTCGTCCATCTGTGCAAGATAATTAGGCATGGTTGATATGCTTTCTACTGATACAAAGCTTAATGCTAAATCCTGAAGTATCCCTTTAAGATTATCATGCCAGATTTAGCACCTCACGGAGAAGCGGATGTAAACTAATGGCTCGTTTCCACTGAGGGGTACGGTACGGTACGGTACAGTACGGGTCGGGTCGGGTACACCATGATCCGGCTTGCGTTTCCACCGCCAACAGTACCCTTACTTGATAGGCATGGTATGCTGGAAAGAAGCGATCAACGTCATTTTCGCGCGAAGAAAGCGACGTAGTAAACAGCAATGGATGACAGACAGCAGATCTTGTTCTTGCTTCTCGGCATGTTTGTCACTAGAAACAAGCGCTGGCATTGGGCGTTTCCAAGAAGCCAACGCAAAGTCCGACTGATGATCCCGAGGACGCGAGTCCAGTAATTCTGTTAATGGAACAGCGCGTTCTTGAACGCGGCACTCTGCTCGTTCTGGCTATGCGACTCCGGTTTTCTCTGTATGTTCATTTTAGGCAACAAAAAAACGAAATATGTTATAAAACACCACTCTGCTTCTTTTCGATTTCATTTCAATACATTTTAAACATTCTAAAGCACACAAATGTGATTCAGGCAAAGCATAGCCTATTGATTATATTAACTGCATGTAGCCTATATATGTAACGTTATATTTATAAAATATAAAACAACCCTGCCTCTTTTCGTTTAAATGTAAAAATATTAAACATATTCCAGGCAATATGTAATGTAATGTATTGCATAGGCTATCGCATTGGTACAAATGTTGCAATAAACATAGCCTACAGATGATCTTGTAATAAAATAAAATCTCTTTTTGTTGAATTTCAGTTTTATCAATAATAGCCATTATAAAGGTATAAGTAAAAAGTACAAAAAGATATACAGTAAAGCTTAAATAACATCAAGAAACAATTCAGTCAGTTAAATATACAAATTCAGCGCTCTAAGATGTGAAACTTCACGTAGCCTTCTGCCAAAAATATTGGCCAGGGAACGAGTTATAGATTCACAAGACCAAAGATTACCTGTTAGGTTTATACAAGACGAACTATATCTCATGTTTAACAACTACAGAGAAATCCGAGTCAGCGGCAAACATCAGAACGACTAGCCGAGGAAAGGCTGTTCCAGGCGGGGGACACGAGCGCGAGCGTCCGGTGATTGCTTGGAATGGATCTCAGTCAAATTATCATAAATCTGTAAATAAACCACAGATTTGAGCTTTAAAAAACTACTTTTTCACCTGAAAAACTCTTAAAACTACATTTCGTGACACAATAACAGTAGTAATATATTTCAACTGTATGCTTCTAATGCCCTTGTAGCACGAGCAAGTGACGATACTCAGTCCACCAATCACCGTTCTGCAGTGAGTCTAGCTCCACCTTTTAGTACCCTTTCACTGTGCTAGGTACCCCAACGGAAGGGTACCCAAAAAGTGGTACGGTTCGGCTTTTTGGTACCATTCACAACTTTTGACAGTGGAAACGCAAATAATTGCGTACCGAACCGAACTGTACCGTACCGTACCACTCAGTGGAAACGAGCCATAAATGGATACATTGTCGCGGCAACTTGCTGTAGACAATTATATGAGGAGACATCATAAATGCAGTCGTGTTGACACATTTCGACCAGCCATTCCTCCATCTCTGTGGCCGTACAGCTGCTTATTTTACTGTTTCTCATTGGGTATTGTGGAAGTACCCCCCCCCCCCCCCTTTACGGAAGAACAGCTAGTTATAACCATAAAATACAAGTAATGAATTGTGATTAGTTTCTCTTATGTAAGCAATCTTTTTTTCCCTAGGCTCGTTGTGATGCGTCTTCATTTGAGAGCGTCCGCTGCACATTCTGTGTGGATTCGGGGGTTTGGTACTATGAGGTTACAGTCATCACCTCTGGTGTCATGCAAATTGGCTGGGCAACCAAGGACAGCAAGTTTCTAAACCATGTGCGTTTCTGGTTACGTTTAGATATTTCTCTACAATATTTACTCTATACAATGTTATTTTGTTTTTAATACATTAATAAGAAAAGTTCTGTGTCACATTAAAGGGATAGTTCACTTTGAAATTAATTTTTGATATGTTTTAGCTTACCTTAAGGGCATCCAAGATGTAGGTGTCTTTGTTTCCACAGTATCTTAAATTTTGACATTTTTCGGTCAAACCTTTGTTGTCTGTCAGTCATATAATGGAGGCCAATGGGGGTCCACGTCAAAGAGCATGCACAGAGAAGTCCAAATTAAACATGATTTAATGACTCGTGAATGTAAGTACACACTGATGGCCTAAGACACGAAACGAGCGGTTTGTGTGAGAAAACGAACAGTATTTATATAGTTTTTACCTCTATGTCGAACTGATCTGAATCAGATGTCCAACTGAACCGAACTGAACCGTGTCCAACGTTACGCCGGAAGTGATCTCTCGCGTCTACGTCACGCATTGTTTACACAGAGATTTCGGAAGTTTTACTTTTCACTAAACATATTTAGATGTATCTAAAAAATGTCAAAATTGAAAATGCTGTGGAAACAAAGACACCTACATCTTGGATGCCCTTGAGGTAAGCTAAAACATATCAAAAATTAATTTGAACTATTAACTATCAATAAAGTGAACTATTCCTTCAATGAAGAAAGAAACTAAAGTGAGGAGAACGTATTTGTGTGTTTGTACAGGAGGGTTATGGGATTGGAGATGACGAGTACTCCTGTGCGTATGATGGCTGCAGGCAGCTGATCTGGTACAACGCTCGCAGTAAACCTCACTCCCACCCCTGCTGGAAAGAAGGTTTGTGCGGTGCTTCCTGTTCAGCACCTGTAACTCAATTATTTGATTATTTCTTGCATTTAGTGTATTTCTTCATTTTAGGGGAAAAAAGTTGTTTGCAAAGATTTGTGAGCAGTGTTTTCTGGAATTTCTAGGTGATGCCATTGGCTTCCTGCTGGACCTCAGCAAGAAGCAGATGATTTTCTATCTGAACGGACACCAGCTGCCTCCTGAGAAGCAGGTGTTCTCTTCTGCCACGTAAGAAAGACTCATTTTCTTTACCACAAGACTTAAAACAAATGTTTACAGAGGTTTTTTTTAACACTTGCTTTACCTTGTCTTAGGTCTGGCTTTTTCGCTGCAGCCAGTTTCATGTCCTACCAACAGTGTGAGTTCAACTTTGGAGCCAAGCCCTTCCGCCATCCCCCCTCCTTCAAATTCAACACATTTAATGAGTTTGCCTCGCTCGCATCAGACGAGAAAATCATTCTGCCCAGGTTTGCACTGTTTATTAGATTTCTGAACAAATTATCAATGACTTATGTAAATGTGAATAATGCATTAGTTATCACTCATACCGTTCATTCATGCCAAACAAAGAGCACATAAAATTGCTGGTTCTCTGTCTTTTTATTTCAGACACCGGCGCCTGGCTTTGCTCAAGCAGGTTAGCATCAGAGATAACTGCTGCACCCTCTGCTGTGACCAGATGGCTGACACTGAACTGAGACCCTGTTTGCACAGGTACAAAGTTCAGCATATAGAATCAGTGTTTACACCACTGGGTTTATGGGTAAAGAGATGTGATGGAGGCTCACAGTTTGCTCAAGAAAGCTGGCTTTGTGTGCTTGGCTGAATTGGAGTAGATAAAACCAGCTGTTGCTATGAGAATTAAGACATTTAGAACCTATTTGTCCTTTTTTTTTCTCTCTATATTTTACCCTCTTGAAATTAGACCAAAATGAGTTTAGTAAGATAAGTATGATAGTGTGTGATTAATAAATATTTATCATATTTTTCTTTGTTCCATAATAGCTATTAGCTAATTAATGTGCATTAACTGCAACAGTTGGGGTACCTGAAGTAAAAATCCTATCCATTTTTCCTATTCATTAGGCGAATAGATTTTTAACGAGGACTTGTAAATATGAGCTAAAAGGTTGTAATTAGCTTTTTGATTAAGCCATCAGGCTACATTATTTCAACGTTTTTTTTTTTTTTTTTAAATAGCCGTGTTTAAAGGAGTAGTTCACTTTAAAAAAAACTTTTGCTGATAAAGATATCCATGTCATTCTTTCTTCAGTCGAAAAGAAATGAAGGTTTTTGATGAAAACATTCCAGGATTTTTCTCCATATAATGGACTTTACTGGTAACCAAATGGTTCAAGGTCCAAAAGACAGTTTCGGTGCAAACTGTTCAAATGGCTTTAAACGATTCCAGACAATGAATAAGAGTCTTAAGCGAAACGATCGCTCATTTAAAAAAAAAATTGTATAAGCTCAAATGGTCGCCTTGCTCTGTTCTGTGATTCGCGTTTGAACTCGTTTTATCAAAATTAACGAATCTTTTTTCGTGTCATTTTCATTCAACGAACAAAATGAATGAATTGACTCGGAAAATATTATTCGTTTTTTTATTCGATTATGTCCTTCGCAGTGCTTAATTTGATCTTTACCTCATTCCCTCTTTCATCCATACCTTTTTTTTTTCTTTTTGTCTGATTTTTAAATACTTTTTTTGCTTCAAAATGTTGCGATTTACTTCGCTAGTTGGATTGGTTCATGGCTTAAAACTCTTTAACAAAGACAAAAAATAAATGAGAAAAATTTGCTATTAGTGATTTAGGAATCACACCTAAGATGGATATTCATTTTAAGATTATAATTAACAGGATTATTAAAACAGTAGGGTTTTTAAAGATGGGATGTCATGGGACATTTAACCTATTATTGATTACTGTTATATCTTCTCTTTGTGCTGAACAATTTACTCATCTTCTGTTTCTTTGTGTGATGTCTTCAGTGGGATTTGTATGGAGTGTGCCTTACAGCTGGAAACGTGCCCACTGTGTCGCCAAGACATCCAGACACGAGTCAGACTCATTTCCCACGTGTCCTGACATCAGCCCACCAACCCTAGATGTGGACTTTCCCCCCTCAAGCTTCCATCCTGTCCAGTCCCCCCATCCGAGAAATCAACCTGACCAATCGAATCATGATGCTGTCTCAGGATTGGATGCGGGAGGGTGGACATTTGACAGATGGAGTAGACCTTCCTTGAAACTGGAGGGAAGAAGAGAGTGAAAACTACACTGTTGCACTCCAAGGCAGCCCCAATCAGATGGTTGTTGAGCGAAGCTGGGGGTTTTTAATCTGCTTTTCCAGGAACAGATAAATTATGGAACAAATGCATCCATTCTGATCTGTCTTTGAGTCTCTCCCTCAAGCTCTGGTCAGGGTCTATTGTGTGTCTGTTCAGACTTGTTGAATATATATGTGATGCCCTAATGTTTTTTTTTTTTAAGTTACAATCTCATCAGGAAACACCAGTGTCATAACCACTTTGTTTCCTCTTTATGTTCATGCCTGCCTCAGAAAACCCATTATTATTCTGCTCCCATCAGACTTGATTGTACTTGAAACTGTTTTGGTTTGATTGCCCCACATTCTGAATATGATTGTGTCTTGATGTCTTGATGAATCAAGACACTGTGATTTATTTTTATTTTTAATAATAGTATTTTACAATGATGTATAATGCAAAGTCCATTTAGAAATAAATGAAGCCAAATTACATTGGGTAAAATGACAGAATTGAGTGAGAACTGATTCCATCAGACTAAAAAGCAATCCTTAAATGAGATTTGGGGTAATTTTGTGTGTTTTCTGCCATGGTTAATGCACATATCAGTGCCCTAATGCTGCTGATGCTAAATGTGAACTTTCTTAAGCAGTTAGAGACTGAAATCTCCAGCGCTCCCAAAGATAAGAGAGTATGATTGAATTAAGAATCTTTCACTTTTTTGAATTATGATGTTTGTAATAAATGTCTGTTTTATGTGTTGCACGATTGTCGTTATCTGACATTATTTACTCATTCGACAGATTTGCGTTCATTTCAAAATCCAAATGCACCAAAGAGCTAAATGCAAATATAAAGTGATATATTATCTGTTGCAAATTGCTTTTATGAGTAAATGATGGCTACATGCCTCATATTCCTTAGCATAGATATCCATAATAAAGGATAGATGTCTTACGACGGAGTCTCAATCGTTCTCACCGTCGGCCAGCCATCTACAGCAAGCTTTTTGACGAGGTCTGTGGTAACTTACCTGATACAAGGTGAGTGATTTGCACAAATCTTAATACAGAACGCATGGCGTGAGATGCAGGGGCTATTCCAATTCTGTTCCATGCCGGCTCAGAAATGATGCATCCACCTTCCAGAGGCTGTTGCAAGACCCACCTTTATTGATGCAGCCTGATCTCAACTAACCTTTTCAGGTGCAGACTGATGCCAGTGATGTGGGACTGGGAGCTATTCTCACCCAGCAAACCCCTGAGGGGAAAGAGTAATAGCATATGCTTCAAGGACATTATGAGGAGCAGAACTAAATTACTCCACATCAGAAAAAGAGTGTCTGGCTGTGGTCTGGGTGGTGGAAAAAATAGAGGAATTACCTTGATGGGAGGCAGTTTGATATCTACAGCGACCAATAGCCTTTGATAGTCCCAAAACCTCGTCTCAATTGATCCGGTGGACTCTTAGGTTTCAGCAGTTTAACTTCCAAGTACATCACTGGAAAGGATGTCTCAACCTAGGTCCCGATGCCTTGTCACGAGTATGTCAGTCTATGGCAGGATGTGCACTGTTTGTTTGTTCTGTTATTTATTATACAGAATTACAAGTAATCTTTGTGACTACTGAGATCAGACACACCTGGATTAATCAGTTTGTCCAATAATGGAAGACAGGAAATAAGGAGCTGGCTGAAGTTCGGAAAGTAGTGCAGCTGTGCATAAAGCCAATTGTCCCCCCCAAAAAAGGGTTTTGTTTTGTATTTGATGGGTTTCCAAAATGAAAGTTTGGTTTGACTTGATATAAATATACTATACTCTTGTAGCCTACATCTTAATCTAATCCAATAATACAATTATTATTAAAACTAATTTCTAGTTATAATTTTAACAGTAAGCCTCTGTTGTGTAGCAGTAGTTTGCCAAACAATTAAAAGTCTTGTTTAAATTGAATTTGAATAAAAGATAAATTAATGTTTTATGCCTTCATTTGATTACCAGAAAATTTAAAATACACAATACAGAATTTCTTAAATAAATAAATAAAAAACATTTCATGGGGCCAACCTATTATTACTTTTTTTAAATAAATTCAATTAATTTATTAATTAGACATGTTTTTGATTAAACCACATAGACAAAATAAAACAGAAAAAAGCACAAAACTGGGTCAAAAATTAAATGGAATTTGAAGAAAAAAACATTAACAATTTATCTTTTGGTTCTCTCCTAATAGAGATGAACTTCGAAATTTTACATGAGATTTATCCTACTAATGAATTTTTAACATTGAAATTTAGTTTTGAGGTGAATAACTGTGTTTTTTGTGAAACAAGTATTGAGAATTTAGAGAATTTAGTCTTCTTTGACTGTGTTGTGGTGCAACCCTTTTGAATCGAGGTGCAGAATTGGTTAAGGGGTTGAACTCCCACATAGGTTTGGTGTTTGTCTGGATAACAAAGATTTTCCTTTTGTAAAACAAATAAAAAAATAAATAAATAGATAAATAAATAAATAAATTGATTTCTCTTTTGGATATGTTTGAATTAATTTAAAAGTCCTTATTTATTTTATTTTTCATTTTATTTATTTTTGTATTGCTTTTTTATTTAATTATTTGTTTGTTCTAGTCTGTTTTCTGTTTTTGTACTAGCTATGCTCAATCTAAGGCTGAAAAATGTAGGTTATTTTCAGAGATTTGTTAACGTACCTTGTTTGTTTGTGTTGTTGAAGATTACACAACAATTAATCAATAAATAAAAATGTCCGCCTCAGGATGCAGCGAGCTGTTTCCAGGCTGTTTCTATTGTCCTATTCAAAACACAATACACTCTCAAATCAAATCAATATTTGATTTGATTACTACACACTGCTCGACAAAGGGAAAAAACAACATATTATTCTATCATAGGTTTCTATCAGTTTTCTATCCTATGGGCAGTTTAGTGACGTCATTGGTCTCGTCGTTTGACTGCCTGTCCGATAGGAGGCGCCACACACTTCCTGAAATACACTTGTTCATCGAAAGGAAGTCAGATCGAGTGTGTTGCAGGTCCGTTGGCGCTAGCTCTGAGCAGTGATTCGGATTCATCTCCGTTTTACACAATTCTTATCTAAAAATAATCTTAGTATTTACTAATCTCGGGCAGACATGACAAATTAATCAATTTATCGCGATATTATAAATTAAACCAGCAGGAATATAACCGAAGATCCAACGTTACCCAGGTAAGATGGGCTACACAACAATTCATTGCTTTCATAACAATAGTTTGACGAATCTCACAAGTATTACACGTTATTTTAACTGAAGAGCATGGTTGTTTTATTTAAATAATAGATTAGATGCAGACCAAAACCAAAACTCAATTGTGTCTTGCGCGCGATATTATGTAAATTTATATTTATCAACTGCAATTCATTTAGAAGACACCAAATGTCGGCGTGGGCGCAGAAAGCTGGGGGCAGAAGACCACCACCAAAACATAGTGGAGGAAGGTATGTGAGTAACTTAGAGGCTTTGTTTCAAAACACTGAGAGCTGCCTCCTTCTGGGCTATTCTTCGCAACATTTTAACAGTTAAAAACTAAATTTAAGTGCTGTCTAGCTTGGTTTTAACACACAGCCTACGTTTTACATTTCTGATGGTATGTTAATTTTAATCATGTTGACTTACTACATGCAGTGTCCTAAAACCTCTCAGGTCTTTTCGAAGACCACCATATCCTATGAGGGAGGACAGAAAAGATGACCTTCCACAATCTGAGAGGTGACTTAAATAGAGTTATTTGTAAAGTCTATATATAAATCCCTTATATAGATTCTTCTTTCCCATATCTGTTTCTCCCAAGTAAACATTTACTTATTTCTGAGCAATGCATTACTGTTCTTAACTCTAAACATCTTTCCCTCCCAATCATACCTCAATTCTCAGTTTTGAAAGCTTAGAAGAAGGGATTGACTACTCTGGCACTGCAGACTATGAGCATTCACCGCATCAGTCAACGGGTATTATTTTTCATATAATGGTTTTTCAAAAAAGAACTTGATTTCTCACTGCTATTGTTGTTTCTGATGTGGGAAATCTTTTGAGCATCTTTCTTTGTATCAGCTGTTTCCCCTGAGGAATACGAGGCATCAGTTCAACGCACTACCATATATGAGAAGTTCCTACAGCAGCTACATAAAGATGGTGCTAGACAGCCTGCAGACTGTGTCGTCCTGTCTGTGAATAACCAGAATGTGTGAGTATATACCTCAAGTAGCAGCAAAATTCTCTTGCATTATTATTGTGTCAAGTTTGCTTTTTTTATATATATTAAATGTAAGAGAGTAAATGTAATTTAAATGTAATTTTTTTCAGAGTTGGCACATGAAAATATGGGACATGTTTACCCATTTTGTGCTGTTTTAGTTTTCTAAAAAAGTCTCTGTTGTGTGAATGTTGTTTGTTATTGTCAGATGTTAGACAGGTCAGATTTGTCAGGATTAAGATCAGGAACCATCCTTGAATTCTGATGGATATGCTATTATTTAAATCATTTATGCGAAATTAAATGAAAATTAAATATGCCTTGAAGAAAAAAATAGTATTCTAAATGTTCATAATTAGCCAAAATGTGTCCACTATTTAACAGATGTCTCTGCTTCTTAGGGTGTGTTCACACTTGTAGTTCGGTTTGTTTTGTTCGGACCAAAAAAGTTTTGTTTTGTTCGGTCCGCTTAGCGTTCAGATTGGCAATTTAACACAGAACCTAAAGACATAGGGATATGTTCAGTTCACAACCTGATTGGTCGGCGTTTATTACTTATATTTTGCGATGGAACTTAATGAAAACCCAAAACACCCATATTTTGATTAGCTTTGATCTTGTGAAGAGCTTATAAAATGTGTAAAGGAGTCAAAACAACGGCAGAAATCCCTCCATCACACTCATAAATGATATGCTGTGAGAAGACACTGTTCTGATGCCTGTGCTGAACTGTGATGGGCAACATTGTGACTATGATGAGAAAAAACAGGTGTGTGAGAGCATTCTGTCCTTTTTAGGGTCGCATCTTGTGACATCATGTCCCATTTTTGTCGAAACCCATCATTTTAGCGGTTTCGGGCTGCTTGTTTGGTGCGCACCACTAGGGTTCGGATGGTACCGCAAATGTACGGCACTAACAGAGCAATTGCACCACGGGTATGTTTTAATCGACCCAAACATGCCAAGTGTGAACACCCTTTTTCTTTACAATTCACTTTCAGTCTCCTTATAATCCTTATAAATTAATAAATAAAAAAATCCACTATTATCACTATTTTACACTGCTTTTCCAGTGGACAAAAAAAAACACAAACAAATAATGTAAATATTTGAGCTTTAAATGGAACCTTTGAGAATATTTAGAAAAAAAAGAGGTTAATTTAATAATAAACAAGTTAGTTTAAAAATGTACTTGTATGTTGTGTAAATTATATTTATCCGGCAAATCAAACACAAATGTTTGGTCTCACAAAAAAATCAAAAACAAGCAAACCCCCCCCCCTAACAAACAAATTTAAATATAAATGACTTCTGAATCCTAATCTCAATGCTGCGGAAACACAAATCACAAACCTTGCATCATTTTATGGTACCATTGCGTCATGTTGCATTCAATTTAAAATTTAGAGCCCTGCCCTAAAAACTGTAGGAAGAGAATGCATTTATGCTGATGTTTAACTTTTTGATTCAATTTTTCCAATCTAAATCTTCTATTTCACATTTCTAAAAGAGG